TAGGTAAGTGGTCGCCAGTTCAGGGTGTGGTCCACGTCAGCGAGAGCGGCTCGAAGTATTTCCTCTCGTAGACCTTCTGAGGAAAGAATCTTGCTGAGTATAGACATTGTTGACCGGACGAGCCGTTCCCAAGCCCCGACCATGTGGGGGGCAACAGGTGGGTTGAAGCTAAACTCAAACGTAGGGTATTCTCGCTCGGTTGCGGACGTTGATATGCATTCTATATGTTGCCGTAAGACTCCGTTTGCTCCTCGAAAGTTTGTTCCGCTGTCTGATAAGATCCGCCGTGGTACACCTCGCCGGGCACCAAATGTCTTTAGGGTACATAAAAAGGAGTCCGTGAAGAGTGACACTGCAACTTCCAGATGCACTGCTCGAGTATTAAGACATGTAAACAACACGCCCAATCTCATCTCCCGCCGACGCCCCACTGCGACACCGAGAAGTCCGAAGTAGTCCACCCATGTGAATGTTAACGGTACGGAGTGTACGGGGAGAGTCGCTCTTGCGGTAGACTTCACATTTCCGGTGGCTCGGGTCGGGCGTTTCGTATGCGGCATGTCGGACAATCTTTGGCAACCTCCCTTACGAGGGCCTTTAGTCCTTTATTCCAGTACTGTTGTCTCATTTCATTGGCGACGATCTCGTTCTTAATGTGGTGAAACCGCCGGTGGTAGTAATTTGCGTTAAGATATGTCACTCGGTGACGTCACGATAGAATTATGGGCTGCTGTATGGCAAACTCTATACCCTCTATCGCGTTTATTCGGTCTTTTACTGGCATCACGCCAGATTCGTCTAGGAATGGGGAACACGTAAACAATGGGCTCTTGCAATCATATAGGAAACTCCGCTTCCCGGCTGATTCGCACCAGAATGACATCCGAGTCCACAGCCCGCGTCAGTTGCACCAATTGTTGTAGTTGGCCATCTTTTGGTTCCTTAATAAGCAAGCGCAGGAACTGAAGGACTTTGCTTTTCGCGGGTGCAATTTTTCCAGCCGGCTAAAGCGTTGAGGATCTGGTACAATACAGGCTATTGTGGATTTATCTGTGTGGCCCTTCTCGTGGTGCATGATGATGATCGCTCTCCGTATTGACGGATTCGAGCCAATCGTCGACAAAGGTGTTCCTGCATATGACCGCTACAACTTCCGGCAACTGTCTGGAGAAGCGCTCCGCGTTTCGATTTCATATATAGTTGGCCAGGGCAGGAGAACATGAAGCTCCGAACGTCATGACTTGCATCGCATAAATACCCGGTTCGCGTGACGCATCTCCGCTCCTCCACAAAAACATTTGGGAACCTTGGTTTTCAGGCCGCACCTTTACTAGGTGGAACATCTAACGAATGTCCCCAGCAACAGCTACTTTAACTTCACGAAATCGCAGCAGCACGCCCATTAGCGACACCAGTATGTCCGATCCTTTCAGCACAGCATGGTTGACGGACATTCCTTTGACTTTAGCCTCTGCGTCCCATACTATCCTGGTTTACTTCTTATTTGGGTTGCTAACAGAGAAGATTGGGAGATACAAGGTCTGCTCGCTACGAGATTCGTGCGGCTAGCTACGTATGTTGTGTGTTCGTCCCACCAAATTTATATTAATGTGACAGCCCGGTAGCTCAGAGAGAAAGCACAGAATTCTCGGGTTCGTAGTGGGTTTATTGCGGGTATATTATTACAAATGTCTTGGTAGCTTGGTTGGCCTTGCCTCGTCGCTTGTGGCCTTTGGTTCTTCCGACGGTCCTAAACGATTCGACGACCTCTTGCCTTGACCACTCGGTGCTCCAGTCCTATAGCTCCCTGAAGATCCTCGCAGCTCCCTGAAGATCCTCGCAGCTCCCTGAAGATGCTCACTCGCTGCTCGCTCCTCACTTGGTAACTGCTGGTAACGACTCGGACTCGCGAGGGGGATCAGCCGAACGGGCTCAGGGAAGCGTCACCGTTCTCAGACTAGGGTGAACAGAAGCTGTCCTCTCCAGGATCACTCCTTCCGACACACCGCCGCCTGTTCCTTGCTCTGTCCCGGATGGTCCCACTGGGGTTTCTGCTCAGCCCGCGCGGACAGTCAAGGAGGAACGCCAGGAAGCTGCGCTTTACTTCGCTTCCACGCCTAGTGTAAACGAACGTTCCACCCCAGCCTCACCCTTTTCCTTTTGGTCCGGGACGTTTCCGCGTGGCTTTTGGTGCTTGGGGTTCGGGCACGCCGCTCCGGGACCTCGCAAGTCGAATCCGTAGGGCTCTCCTGGACAATTCCACTCGACACCGTACCGATCGACAGCTCTCCCTTCTGGCTTGTTATATTTGGGGTTCGGGCACGCCGCTCCGGCACCTCGCATGTCGAATCCGTAGGGCTCTCCTGGACAACTCCACTCGAGACCGTACCGATCGACCGCTCTCCCTTCTGGCTTGTTATACTCTCTCCAGGCGTAACGCCAGGACTTTGTGGATAGGGTTAATCGACCGCCTTGACCTAGCCGTGTGATGCCCTCTGGACCTCAGCTACCTGCGTCTCAATTCGGAGATTCCTGGTATCTTGCTCCTCGTAGGCTCCCACAGCGCTGCTTCTCCGCCGACTCGACTTGCTGTTGTTTGATTGTTCACTTTGGTATCTGATTGATCTTGACGGTTTGACTCCTTGTGATCGACTGAACCAGCTGCCAGTGCTCTGCGGCCTTATATAGGGCCTCCGGGAACTGTTATTTCCCGTTTTCGCATGGCCCGCTGGATTTCTCCACTCCGGGTCCAAAGTCCGTGCCTCCTGGTTGACCCACTTGTCCTTCACGTACCGCTTCCGATCGATGCTCCGCCCACTGCTACCGCCCCGCTCATTCCCGTGATGCTTGTGGCGCGCCTGTGTGCCGCTCCACTGCCGAGATGTGGCACTTTTTCTCCCGGTCCAAAGTTCACGGGAGAGTCCAAAGTCCGGTGGAGTCCCGTTATCCGCTTTCGCACACGGCACTCTGGCCTTGCCCGCGAAGTCTCCATTATCTCTCCATCTCCATCCTTGGTCTTCAAACTCTCTCGCTCTCCGTCCTTGGTCTCCAAGCTCTCTCGTTCTCCATCCTTGGTCTCCAAACTCTCTCGCTCTCCATCCTTGGTCTCCAAACTCTCTCGTTCTCCATCCAAGTCTCCAAACTCTCATCGCCGAGCCGATACTACGCCGATACTGGTAAGCGGCCGGCCATCTGTTGCTGCTTCTATTAGTGGGGAGTTATTCAACTCCTCACATTCCCCCCTTACTTCGGGAAACATTTAAAACTTGTTCCTACTCTCTGGCGTTTCCTTGCTTATCCAAGCCTTCGAGTCCTTGTGATTCCCGCGGCGCTCCCTCGTTGCTCCCTCGATGCTCCCACGACGCTCTTAACTCCGTTGAGTTTCTACAGCGCTGGTCATTTTCCTCGTAGCAACTTAAACCTCCCGCGCCGATATTTTCCATGACCCCACTGGGACATCGATACTCGTGGGCTATCGATTGCCATCTCGCTGCTCATTGCTGAGTTCTACTCCTTTTTATTGGTTCCTCCGCCTTGTCACACCATTCGTGCGTGATCTATGTTTATGTTTGCCACCTGCTCGTTGCGATATTTCCACCTTTGGCCGATATTACCATTTTTGTGTACCCATAGATCGCACTATCGTCTAGTGCCAATCGATCGCCTATCGACGCACCCCCTTCCCTGGCTCATGGTGATTTTGCAACTTTCTAGGTAAGTTTTCCCATTTCCTCACTCCTTTCTATGTCATCCTTCCTTTCCCCATACGACCGCTCTCGCCTCTCGTCTCTCTCTCTCGCCCTTCAATCGTTTTCAGCCGGCTGAGCCGGGCTCCACGCTGGCAACACTCGAGAGCGGGTGCGGAGAGGACTTTTGCATTTGCTTCGCTGCTTGTGAGTATTTTGGTATCGTTTGGCTGCTTCCTGTATTAACCCAATGTGAATTTCAGGATGCCGGAGCTGCCATTTATGCCCCTTTCTTCTGGCCCCTGTTTCAGCCGCGTTTCCCGTCATATGCCGGTTTTAATCTCTGTTTCGATTCTTTTATTTAAACTTTATTACCCGAACACTCTCGTGCCCACCAGCCCCAACCAGCCTCTCCATATGCGCACGCTGCGCCTGCCGCTCAGGATGCAAGCCTCCTTCACCGCCGGTGCCTCCGCGATCCCTTCGGGCCATTCGTGCTCCGCGATCTTTCGCCATCGCTGGCCCTCCGGCGCCGACACCGTCCGCGACAATTTCGGGCGTGCCACCACCTCGGACACTTCGGGCGCCGAGTGCTGCCGCTTGAGCGGAGGTCGGCCACCTTCCGCGGGCTCGGGCCACACCCTTCTTACTACCCAGATCTACGGTACAGCTCTCTGCTCTGTGCCGTCTTCCCCCTTCCTCCGGCAGACTGTTGATGTGTGTATTTTACTTTCCTCCGATCAGTCCCAATCGAGACTTTAGACGCTCTGGTTTGCTCCCTTCGTGTTCTTAACGTTCTCCTGATGTCCTTTATGTGTTTCATTACACCTTTTTAGTTGCCCCGTAGTATCCTTGGAGTCGGTATGTAGTATCCCTTTCGAATCCTTGGAGGTATCCTTGGAATTTGTTCGTAGTATCCTTTGGGAATCCTTGGAGGTATCCTTGGAATCTTAGTAGTATCCTTTGGGCATCCTTGGAGGTATCCTTGCACTCCTTTCGTAGTATCCTTTGGAGGTATCCTTGGACTTCTTTCGTAGTATCCTTTGGGCATCCTTGGAGGTATCCTTGGACTCCTTTCGTAGTATCCTTTGGGCATCCTTGGATGTATCCTGGGACTTTCGTGGTATCCTTTGGGTATCCTTGGAGATGTCATTGAACTTTTTTTTTCCTGTTCCTGTACCCAGTGGCCCCAGTAAGCACCCAAAAATTCTGGAAGCCAATACCAGGCAGCACAATTGGCAGAGCCCCCGGACAGACCCTCGGTTTTAGCACTCACATATTCACTATTAGTAATAGTCATTACTTTAGAGTCTCGCCATGCTGTGCGCCATTGTCCGTGGTCTTTCCACCGGCCACAAGTTGGCCCTGTACCGTTCCGTGTCCGAGCTCCTCGGCCCTAGTCACGATGTCCGGTGCCTGCCCGCCGGAAGAGACGGCAGAGGCAGCGGTTGCGGCAGCCACAGCTCCAGAGCCCAGCCCATCGTCAAGATCTACTCTCGCTTTCCCGGGCTGCAGAGAGTTCTAAATTATCAGTGCGAAGCCTTCATTCGGATCACGACGCCATGTTCTACTCAATGTATGCCTACCTGTCCAACCTGCCACGCCTTCATGTCCTGGGCAAGGCGGTGGTGGCCTTTGTGGTCTATTACCTAATCCAGGTGGTCAAGCGACCGAGTCTGCTGAGCTCCAAGAGTCTGCCGCACGTCAACTACCGCCGCGAGATCCTATCCCTGAAGGATGGCGGCGAGGTGGCCCAGGACTGGATGGAGGAGGGCTGCAACGCGAGCTCTCCGTGTATCCTTTGCCCGCACACTGCAAGCTGGGAGCCACTGGAATCTCCATGGGTGGCTTAATTCTGGGAAACTATCTAGCCCGCAGGAGCGAAAAGACCAGGAGCTTCCTGTCGGCGGTAAAGATCATGTCGGTGCTCTGGGACGTGCACAAGGGCAGTGCCAGCATCGAGAAGCCGGTGATAATGAGCACGACCATCAAAGAGTTCGACGAACTGCCAGTACATGAGCCGCCTGTTCACCGAGTACTTCACCAAGGCGTTGTTCGACGAGGACGGCGAGTTCGAGCATACATCCAACAAGATGCACGAGCGATTCCTGGCCAAGCAGACGGTGGCGCTGGCCTTCTCGACACCAGTGCTGCTCGCCAAGAAGATGGAAGCCGATAGTTGGACCACAAGGTCAAGCTGATGTGAACGAAGAGCTCTACTCAGTGTTTGCCCAATTAGGATTTCCACTTCAATACATAGATATTCGAAAATGTATTCCGATGGATTTCCGTGAGCGAAGACTTTCGTACACATGTGATATGAAACGTTGATCAAAATCCAAAGCGTTGTTATATACTCTAAATCATCGAACAGGGAACCAAATTATCAGTCGATCACAAGGAGTCAAACCGTCAAGATCAATCAGATACCAAAGTGAACAATCAAACAACCAGATAATCTACAAGGGAGCCACAGCAAGTCGAGTCGGCAGAGAAGCAGCGCCGTGGGAGCCTACGAGGAGCAAGATTACTACGTCGAGACGTTCGGGATTAAGATACCAGGAATCTCCGAATTGAGACGCAGGTAGCTGAGGTCCAGAGGGCATCACACGGCTAGGTCAAGGCGGTCGATTAACCCTATCCACTAAGTCCTGGCGTTACGCCTGGAGAGAGTATAACAAGCCAGAAGGGAGAGCGGTTGATCGGTACGGTCTCGAGTGGAATTGTCCAGGAGAGCCCTACGGATTCCAATTGCGAGGTCCCGGAGCGGCGTGCGCGAACCCCGAGCACCAAAAGCCACGCAGAAACGTCCCGGGCCAAAAGCAAAAGGGTGAGGCTAGGGTGGAACGTTCGTTTACACTAGGCGTGGAAGCGAAGTAAAGCGCGAGGCAGCTTCCTAGCGTTCCGCCTTGACTGTCCGCGCGGGCTGAGCAGAAACCCCAGTGGGACCATCCGGAACAGAGCAAGGAACAGGCGGCGGTGTGTCGGAAGGAGTGATCCTGGAGAGCATAGCTTCTGTTCACCCTAGTCTGAGAACGGTGACGCTTCCCTAAGCCCGTACGGCTGATCCTCCTCGCGAGTCCGAGTCATTACCAGCAGTTACCAAGTCACGCGTGAGAAGCGAGTAGCGAGTGAGCATCTTCAGGGAGCTGCGAGGATCTTCAGGGAGCTACAGGACTGGAGCACCGAGTCGTCAAGGCGAGAGGTTGTCGAATCGATCAGGACCGTCGGAAGTACCGAAGGCCACAAGCGACGAGGCAAGGCCAACCATGCTACCAACACATTTATAATAATATAACCGCAATAAACCCACTACGAACCCGAGAATTCTGTGCTTTCTGAGCTACTGGGCGGTAACGTAAATATAAATTTGGTGGGACGAACACACAATATACTGAGCTAGCCGCACGAATCTCGTAGCGAGCAGACCACAAAAATCAGTTCGTTACATTTGCCATCTTAGCCTCCAGACACCGTACACGTCCTAGCGCCATGGACGCAATTCCTTTTCGACCTGCAGCTTCGAACTGTGTGATCGTATAGGCAGCAGTAACACAGGTTTTTATTTCGCACGAAGTCCCAACGCTGATTCCGAGACATGACTAAGAAGTCGGGGCATAGCGACAGTAAGTGACCTCGTACACATTTACGACAACATGTTTGGGCTTGCCTTTGGAGTTCTTCTTGTGGTGGAGTTTCAGAGTGTACGAGTATCCGTTTCCTTGTGGTTCTGCGTTCGCCTATGTTTGGCGCATAAGGAGTGACCATGCTGACACACAGCGACATCGAACAACCAATTGTCGAACATTGACAGATTGATAGTGAGAGCCGGTGACGCCCCCAGTCGAGTTTTAGATCCGTCGTTCCGCTTTTCTAAAGCCCTATGTATTCATTGTGCTGTTTAAGTGCGCCGTGTTGGCCAGAAAGGGCAAACTGATGCTTGGCCTGCACTTGTTGCTTTGGCTCAGGTGATTCCCAGTGGCGGTGATGTCAGTTTGACTAAACAATGGGTCGCCGTTTATATTCTTTATGACTTCCCCGCCGACTAATTGGGGCGTGGACATCAGTCCAACTGGCCGATCTACACTTGAGTAATCAGCTCTACCTGTTCCCTCCTGCATTGTTGTTAACGTTGAACCAGTGGGGAGTCCGCCAGCATTCATGTGCAAACCACCTTCAGCTTTGTTCTCCCTTTTGTCTGTGCTTCCCTCTGGTGTTACGGGGGTTACGTAATCCTCTAGATTATGTTGAGCCGCAACCGCATTTAGGTTAGGGCTCCTTGCTCACCGCTGAAGCTGGGCCGAATTCCAATATTTTTCCGGCCGCCGCCTTCTTCCCGTAGCCCAGGCTGACTCGAAGCGTACGTCTGCCAACTTGCCCCGGAAGGTTTCAGTCACGCCGTTAGGTTCCAATTGATTTCTGTAACTTTCAGTCGGAAGAAATACTTCAGAATGTTTGCTCGCGGCTGGCGCGAGAGACATTACTTCCACTCAAAACACAGACTTCTAGTAGTTCACATCAGAAACAGTTGATCAGAAAAACAACAACCGAAATCTTTATTTCATGTTAGCATGTGTGTTAATTCATTTACATATTCTTACATTTGTGCTCTCCTCGTCTGCTCGCACGTCTACGTCGTTCGCCAACTTTTTACAACTGCCGCTTCTAACACGTGGCTTCGGCAGCGGAGACGTGAAGAGAGAAAGTGATCACCGCAGCCTTCAAATTGCGGTAAGTCCTTGAAAAATTCTCTGGGGGCGCATCGGCGCTACTTCGGGTTTAGGCGCCGTAAGTATGGGGCGGTGGATTGTGAGTGCAGATGGGACAAGATGCATGGTAGCGGCGGCGATATTTAAGTTGCTGACGCAACATTAAGATTAAAATGTTTCAAATATTTAAATAAAGTTTGACGGACTAAATTTCTATAACTAATCTAAAAAATGATATTGTAATAATAATCTATATTATGTTAACATAACACAACAAGTAAATTCAATGTACCTCATTTAACTATAATCAAATAATTTACTTTTATAAAACCATATTAGTTGTTTTTTTCGATATACTATAATGCTACTAAAATTTTAGGCATTAACATATCGCTGCTCTACGAAAATTTTTAAGCCGAAATGTTAGTTGTTAGCCGAACATAACGGAGAGACGCAAATAAATAACGGACCGGCCGAAAGAGAGGAAACCTCCGAATATCTGATTTTCTTTGTTGCCCGACCGTTTTCGTAAGCAGTCTTCTACGCTGCGCCGACTTTTCTGCTGACGTCAACAGCGGCACAGCGTTTTGGGCACAAAAAAAAAACAAAAAAGCTTTAAGCCTTCTGGCATGTCATCCCCTCCCTCCTGCAGAACTGAAGGGTAGTTTCATATATACATATTTAATCTTTTAACGTGTTTTTCAAGAAAGCTGTTTTTACATCCACTTGATGAACTTTTAAGTTACATTGTACTGCTAATGATAGTATATTTCGAAAGCTTGAAGTTCTAGGCACAGGAGCAAAAGTGTCTTCACACTTGACTTGGAGTTTTTGAGAAAATCCTCGAGCAATTAATTTAGCTTTATATCGTATTGTATTTCCTAGTTCGTTATATTTAACGGAAAATACCCATTTGCTATCTACTATATTTTTATGTCTAGTCATTTTTGTGATTATCCAGGTATTATTTAATATATGAGCATTTAACTCTTATTTTTATGGTTTTCTCCCAAAACAACTTATTAGTATTGGTTCGAATGCATGTGGAACATCGTTAAAGATAGCGTAAGCATTAATTATAAAGTTATTTAAACTATTATTATATTTATTATGTGTTTTTAATCTCTCAGTTGCCATCAATGTCATCATTAAGAGTTCAAATTTCATTGAACTGTGAAGCTGTTCCGTTCTTCCTACTTTTATTCGTGTTCTTCGATCCCTTGCTTTCCTTACTATCATTCAGGAATTGTATGTATCTCTCTCATTAATTTCCTGACTATCATTCAGGAATTGTATGTATCTCTCTCATTAATTTCCTGACTATCATTCGGACAATGTTTACTCTCGCCTCCCGTACTATCTTTAAGGAATTCTGTTTCAGGTTGAACAGCTCGAGAAATATCCATATTAGTTTCGTCGACAGCCACATCTCTTGCAACGAGAAATTTTTCAATATCAGCATTTCACAATTTAAAACCATTTGGTTCATTTAAATGGCTTTGTATGACTTACCATCAAACTTTTCTTTTTGAATTTTATTGTGCACTTACACGTTTGCACCAAACACTCTCAAAGGTTTTAAATTGGGCTTTATATAAGGCCACAACTCATACGGGGTAATCATGCTATCAACGATTGCTCTGCTTGGAATTCTGCTAATTAAGTAAGTTGCAGTTAATACTGCTACACCCCAAATACTTTTGTTAAGCTGTTAACTACTTACTAGCGGTGGGTAAATAATGTTTATTCGGGTGAACATGTTCAACTGTTCTTTTTTTTAAATGAGTCAATTCACTGATTTTACTCACCTGATCAGTTGTTCCCTTGCTCATTGTCTCACTTTCTCACTTGCGAGTGATGCCTTGCAGTTCTTGCACTTGGCCTGCTGGTCTCCCTAATCCTCAATTTCGTTTTACATTCAAAATCACATCTTAGTGGGAATTTGAAACAAAATAAACGTAAAGATGTTATCGCTTGTGCGTTCTGAGATAACAGTGAACACAGCTGATTGCAAGTAGGACTTTATGCAAAAATTCATGCATGTTATCAAGCCAGTGAAACTGTTCCACTTATGGAATTAACAAACAATTTTTGAAATTCAATCTCAGCGATATTGACTTTGCATTTGTTTAAGATTCTGCCTTTGCCTTTACCAAAAAATTAGGGCGCCGCTCATGGCAGTCCTGCTATGAAAAAATAAACCTATCATAAAGTACACACAAGATTCCGTTCGAAGCCCAAACTCTCACGATCGAAATCCAAACTTTTGTGTTCTATGTTCAGATCATATTACGTTCGAATTTTCAATCAAATTGCATCGGACAAAAAACAATTAAAGTTCTACAAGCTTTATCAAAATCGTACAGCTAAACCCAAGCATAATGAATAGCAGCGTGTCGAATATAAAACAAGGAAGAACGCTATAGTCGAGTACTTCGACTATCAGATACCCGCTACTCAGATAACAAACTTTAAAATAATTATGCCTTCATGTATT